CATGGCGGACGAGGGCCCGCGGAAGGGCAGCGTCTCGGCTCTCATGGGCCGCACCAACGGCCTCACCAAGCCCGCGACGTTGACCGGTGGCCCCGCCAAGCCCGGGGGCGCGGGCGGCTCCAGGAAGCTGGTCATCAAGAACTTCCGAGGTGGGTGCGCTCCGGTGAGGAGCGGACGGGGGACGGCCGGCAGGTCGCGCGCTCGGACAGGGCCTCCTGGGGCTTGCCCAGCCGGCCCTGTCCCCGCGCCCCAGCCCGCCCTGCTTCCCGCACTGCCCGGCTCCGGCGCTCCAGCCTGCCTGGTCCCCGGGCACCTCCTGCTCCGCCACGTCCCCGCAGCCCCAGCTGGCCCCGATCCCGCACCTCCTGGCTGGCCCTGCCGGGCCCTGCCTCGGTGCCCCGGCCTGGCTTGTCCCCGCGCGGCCGTTGACCCTCTCTCCCCACAGACAGGCCGCGGCTGCCTGACAACTACACTCAGGACACGTGGCGGAAGCTTCACGAAGCGGTCAAGGCCATCCAGAGCAGCACATCCATCAGGTACAACCTGGAGGAGCTGTACCAGGTGAGCGGCGGCGAGGGCCTGCGAGCACCTGGCTGTTTTCCTCCTCCTCCTCCTCCCGCAGCCACGGTCGCCGACGCTAGGGAGGCCTGCCGGGGGGGAAAACGCTGCGGCCCGAGCCTGCCTTCCCTAGCGGAAGCCGCGAAGCCCCCGGTCAGCAGGTGTTTCTGTGGATCGCCGCCCTGGATTAGTGCTGTGTGTTGAGGCTGCTCGGGAGGTGTAAGTGTTCCCATCACCAGGAGAAAGGAGGTGTTGGGGGCTGAGAGCCACGGGGCTCCAGCAGTCTTCAGTGTTACCAGAATGCCAGATAGTTACACATAAAATTCACTACGGCTCCACTTGCTAGTAGGGTCCCTGGGTCGTGCCCTGCCCCCAACACACACACACACACACACACACACACACACACACACACACACACACGCTGTTTTGTTGTTTAATTGTTGCATAGGTGGTTTGCGGACTGATTTGGGTAGTTTTCACTTCAAGATTGGTCAGTGTCCACAGCAGAAAAAAAATCATCAGAAGTACATTTTGCTGTTTCAAGCAGACTTCTGCCATGGTTTTATACAATAATGTTCGCCAAATAGTCTATTTTAGGTGATGATGAAGCATATAATTAATTGCGCTGAAGTCATGAATTTACCGGTTTGTTTTATCCTGGTTACAAAGTGAATGTATTATAAGTTACAGAAAGTACGGAAAAGAAGAATAAACAATGGTACCCAAAGGAAATTGTTACAGATTGAGCACTCCCAATCCAAAACTCTGAGCACAACACTTGACCTCTTCTGATGGCCTTGGTCGGAACACAATGTGTGCTAAAACTGGTGTATACAGTTCCTTAAGCTAGGGCCAGTGGGGGGCTCAGTGGGTCAAAGCTTTGGTAGAACAGGCTTTGCAGCCAGTGTTCAAACCTCAGACCCCTGGAAAAGATGGGAGGAAACTGACTGCAGGTGTCCTCTGACCTCCAGACTCTAGCCATGTCACAGGGACCCACACAGACGCCTCATGCACACACATAATGATAAGTAAAAATAGACCTTCAAATTGTGTTTAAGGTATATGAGATTTGAATTAATTTTGTGTTTAGACTTGAGTCCCATCCCCCAAATACATCATTATGCGTATTCATGTATCAAATCCAGAGGGAAAAAAGTCTAATTCATAACACTTTTTCCAAGCATTTTGGGTGATAGATTGGTGTACATGTGTCTGTTCTTTGTCTTAAGTTTGTAAATTGATGTATTAAGGGAGAGGGATTTTCTTTCTTTCTTTTTCTTTTTCTTTTTTTGGGTTTTTGGAGACAGGGTTTCTCTGTGTAATTTTGTTGTCTGTCCTGAATCTCGCTTCGTGGACCAGGCTGGCCTTGAATTCACAGAGATTCGCCTGCCTCTGCCTCCCGAGTGCTGGGATTAAAGGTGTGCGCTACCACCGTCCGACGGGTTTTTTTCTTTTTAAGGTTTTGTTTTTATTTTGTTTAGATAGGGTCTCACTGTAGGCTGGTCTGGAACTCACTATGTAGATCAAGTGGCCTGAAATTGACAGAGATCCTCCCACCTCTGCCTCCTGAGTGCTGGGACTAAGGGTGTGCACCACTGCGCCCTCCCTGAAGATTCCCTGAAGATCCCCTTTATTGTTTTAAGTGGGGGTGGGGGTGGGTATGAATGGGAGTAGGGAGCTGGAGGCCGGAAGTGTTGGGCCGCTCTGGAGCCTGAGTTAGTGGTTGTGAGCCATAGGTCCTGGGAACCAATCTCAAGTCCTCGTGTACTCTTCACCACTGAGCCATCTCTCCCAAGTCTCTACCCAGCTCCCTTTGTGAGTAAGAGTCTTGCTACAGAGTGCTGGCTGACTTAAGTTACTTGCTGTATATTCCAGCCTGGTCTGTAACTTACAGCAATTCTCCTGCCTAAAGCTTCCCACATGGTTGAATGTGCCACCACACCCCTGATCGTTTTTTTTAACCAGCTTTCTTGAAGTATAATTTATATATAACTTGTACTCCAGTAGGTTGTTTTTTGTTTTTTTTTTTTAGGGGGAGGGGGAGTTGGCTAGTTTTATTTTTTAAGAGTTTGATTGTGTAGCCCAGGCTGCCCCAAACTCAAGGTAATCCTCCTGTGGGAGTTACAGGTTTACCCTAACATACTTGTTCTTACAGTAGATTTTAATGGCCTAATATGCATTGTTTTGCTGCCCCCACCCCATGAAAATACAGACTGTTTCCATCGCCCACGAAGAATCACAGCCCCTTCCCACCATCCCTTTCCGTCTCCTACCCTGGCAGCCATTGCTGTTTCCAGTTACTCTGTCCTGTCTATCTAGAAGGAGTCATGCATTTGCCATCTTTTGTTATCTGGCTTTTACTTAGAATAGTGTTTAGCAGTTTGGTGTATTGTTGTTGTTGTTGTTTTATTTTTTAAATACGTTTTTACTTGAAATAGAATTACATCACATTCCCGCCTCCCTTCACCAACCCCAGCTACCCTCTCAAACCATCCCATGTGCCCCCAAGTGTGTACTGTTTTTATTAATGAGTAGTGTGGATGTAGTACAATTGGTGTAGTCATCAGGTGGAGGATGTTTGGGTGTCCAGTGGAAACATTGCCAGCAAAGCTGCTATGAACATTGAATACATCTTGAGTGGGCATGTATTCTCATTCCTCTCAGGAAGCTATCTCAGAGGGATTACAGAAGACCTGTGCTTAATTTCATAAGAAACGGCCTGCTTTTCTAAGTGGCCATATCATTTTACACTCTGCTAGTGGTATGGGGGTCCTGTTTGCTCCACATTCTCACCAGCATTTGGTGCTGTCAGCTTTACATGTGGTTTAATTTACAGTCCCTACTGATATTAGGCATCTCTTCATACATTTATTGCTATTCTGTAACCTTTTTGATGAAGTTAACTATTCAGACCTTTTGTCTGCTTGCCTGCCTCCCCTCCTCCTCTCTCCTCCTCTCCCCTCTCCTTCCCTCCCTCCCCTCCTCTCCTCCCCCTTTTATCTCTCTATGTAGCCCACTCTGGCTGCAAACTTATAGCCCTCCTGCTTCAGCCTCCCAAGTTCTAAGATTGTAGACATAAGCCAGTATGTCCAGCTTCATTTTCTTAGATTATTTTCCTATTATTGAATGTGTGGATTTAATATGTATTCTTCCAGATACAAGTTACAAATATTTTCTTCTAGTCTGTAACTTACCCCTTAACTGATCGATGTCCTTTGAAGAACAGTGATTTACATTTTGAAGTCCAATGTATCAGCAGTTCTTTAAGGTTGTGCTTTTAGTATCCGCCTAAAAAATAAGAAATCTTTGCCATAGTTGGGAATAGTAGCACACTCCTGTAATCCCAGCACTGGCAGGCATAGGAGATTGAGGAGTTCAAGGCCAGCCTTTTACTAGCCAGCTCTAGGCCAGTTACATGAGACCCTGTCTCAACAAAACAAACAGATCTTTGTGCTGATCTAAGCTCTTGTATTTCCCTTGTAGACATTTAGAGTTGAAAGTTTTACATTTAGATCTGTGATCTATACCTTGTGGACTTCTGTGTGTGTTGTGAGATATGAATCTAAATGCAGTGTTTTCCCTGTAATTGTCTGGGTGCTGGACACACTGTTGTCCAACTGCCTTTCTCAAAGACAGAGCGACTGTCCCTCTAGGAGCGAGTGTGACAGGTGTCAAGTCAGGAAGGGTCAGTCGCCATCTTTGTGTCTCTTCACAGTTGTTTCAGCAGTCTTGGTCCTTTGTATTCCTGTAGGAATCTTAGGATCTGTTTTCTGGCTCCTTCCAGGAAGTCAGCTAAGGTTTGATTGAGATCATGGTGACTCCATTAGATCGTTTAGAGAGAACTGACTCAGCCTTGAAGATAGATAGCACCCTGTTGGGTTTCTTTAACTATTTCTCAGCAGTGTTTCTTGTTTCGGTTTACAGATGTT